AAAAAAAAAAAAAAAAAAAAACCCATATATATATATTTCAGCTAATGTATGTGGTAGGCAGAGTAATGTGGCTCAACACCCCCTCCAAAACATGTCCCGTCCTAATCCCCAGTTTGTGAATACGGCAAAGGAGAATTAAAGGTTGCAAGTGAAATTGTTTGCTCATCAGCTGACCTTAAAATAGGGAGGTTATCTTGGTTTATCCACGTGGGTGCAGTGTAATCAGAAGGGTCCTTACAAGTGGAAGAGGAAGGCAAAAGAGAAAACCAGAGAGATGGCAGCATGAAAAGGACTCAGCCTGATGTTGCTGGCTTTGAAGATGGAGGACAAGGCTACAAACTAAGAATTCAGACAGCCTCTGGAATCTGGAAAAGGCAAAGAAATGGATCTTCCCTAGAGCCTCCAGAAGGAATACAGTTAATTTTAGCCTAGTGAGATCAATTTCACACTTCTGACCTGCAGAACTGTTAAGATAATAAATTTGTGTTAACTAAGTTTGTGATAATTTGTTAGGACAGCAATAGAAAACAAATACGATATACAGGTTCATTCATTTAACATAATCAATCTGCCATTTTATAAAACTGTGATTTTGAAATTTGTTGTATTGAATACACTTTTTTGAAGCTGATGTTGACACAGGAATAAGGCAATTGAGCAAGAAGAATAAGGCATGGTGTGTTAATTATGCACTAAATGACCATGACCATTTTGTCTTATTGGATTAGTTTCTAATAGTTTCAAGTGTATAGGCTTTGTATCTTACAATGATCTTTTTGTATACAGTTATTAGCACAGTGCCAGAAATCTTTCTTGAATTAATAAATGCTAAAACATTTCCTCATTAGGACTGTAAGCTGTTTGGTGTAGGAAAACTAACTTTTTTTTTTTATTGATCATAACAATTCCAACGTTGAACATGGCCTGGAGCTTAACAGATGTTTATTTAAATACTAAGGAGTATGTCTGGGCTTAGGAAGGAGAGGGTGGTTATATTTCAGGGTGGTAGAATTCTGCCTGAAATATGTGCTCTACAATAAAAGTAAAATGTCTCGCTGATACACTGTTAAACTGAGGAAACAAAGATGAGGTAAGGTTGGTCAGATGATTTCTAAGGTCTGTTTACTATTTACATTTCATATAATTTTCATTAAATGTGGAGAATGCACATCGTAGGAGTCACCTGAGATATGTTCAGTTTTTTGTGACTATTTCCTGATGTCTGACAGACTGTTTTTTTAACCTGATGTAGAGTTACAGTCTACTCTTTTAGGGAGAATGCTGTTTGTTCACATCATGAGGCTGTAAATATTTAAAATGTTCTCACCATTGTGTTAGTTTCCAACTGACACATGGCCTGAGAGATTGGAGTATCATTAATTCTCCAACTGTTTTAGTGCTCAGGGTGTGCATATGTTTACTTTCAGGACTAGTTCAGACATAGTAAAACTGCTAGTGACTTCATGTAATCCTTATTCTGAACAGTATTTGAAAGCAAGGGAAATGAAACATGATCCCTAAAAACCTCAAACGTCTAAACAAGTCAATTAAGTGCAAAAAAAAAAAAAAATGTTTCAGGTTGGTAAATGAACAGGCCAGGCGTGGTGGCTCATGCCTGTAATCCCAACACTTCGAAAGGCTGAGGCAGGAGGATCGCTTGAGCCCAGGAGTTCAAGACCAGCCTGGGCAAGATAGGGAAACACCCATCTTTAACCGCCCCTCATCAGAAAAAAAAAAAAAAAGCTGGTGAGTTGGTGTGCACCTCTGGTTCCAGCTATTCAGGAGGCTGAGGTGGGAGAATCACTTTAGCTTCAGCCTCAGAGGTTGAGGCTAGTGAGCCATAATCCGTGATCGCATCACTGCACTCCACCTTGAGTGACAGAGTAAGACCCTGTCTCAAAAAAAAAAAAAAAAAAAAGCATGTCAGGTTACTGGGTTTGCTCCCATGACAAGACGCTTGGCTAAAGTCTATTTTAGGTAACAGTCACCAAGTTTTACTCAGCAATTTTGAATTCTTTGCTGTAAATTGGAAGTATTCACTGTGATAAGCATACATATCTGCAACATTTTCAACTGGTTTTAGTCCCTAATTCTAGACCTTACCCATTTTACACACACGATTAGCTAAATCATGTTCCTGAGCATGGCTCTGATTGCTTTGCTCTGGCTTTAGCCTTGGCCTCATCTGTTAAACTGAAACTTTTTATCAGACCTGTATGCATTAAAAAAATTTTTTTACTAGAAAAATCAGCTTCTTGCTAGCCATGTATGATAGCTATCAAATTGATCATTCTGTAAATAGTAGCAATAAGTGTATCAACACTTTGACCTCCTGCGTGTCTACTAACATTTCCATATAGTCCAAGTGAGCACACAGCACCAGAATATTGGAACAGATGCATCTCCAAAGCCAAGGGTTGCCCTACATTTAGAGTGGGAAAAGACGAAAATGAGTTAGCAGAGGAGCAGCGGGGGAGGGGAGGTAAATTACAGGATATAATTTGCTTCTAAAAATTTGTGTAACATGTTGTAGTTATATAATTAACTTTTCTATTGTACTGATAGATTTGGCACAGACATACTCTCATTGTGAATATATATGAATATATCAGTTCTAGAGTCTGGGGTTTATTTACATAAACACAAATATTCTTTATTGATAATCACACTGGTCTCTATCTCATAATTTTGCCTATAAGATGACCTTATAAAATCCCTCAAGAATTATTTAAATCAAGTGCACGAAGCTCTGCAGTTTATGTCCAAAATATTCATTAAAAAGTTTATTAAACCTGACAGCCTCTTCTTAATGTTTCACAAGCAAGACAAACTTTTATTTTTCTTTCTTCTTTAATTGGCATATGAAGCTTGGGAATATTAGTAGAACAAGGAGACTATGTGAGGCATATAAAAGGAAAGAATCCAAGAGAATGAAAAATCACTTCTTTAAACAGTGTTTAGACACAGACTTTGTATCTATTAGATCTAAATCATGTCTAAATACAAATTAAATCATATTTACAAATAATAATTACACAAAACCTATGTAACACATACTTTATAGTACACAACTGTAAATAAGAATACAAATCTCCACTGCTGTGGGTTCAAAACATAGCAGGCTTGGACCACTCAAAAATGATGTCTGAGAGGAACAGTCATCCTGAAAGTTCTGCAGACAGATGCTAGCAGACAAGCCACTTTGACACTTTTCATGCTATCATTCAGAAAAAAATAGAAGACATATACCACATTACGAACACTGATAATCATCATATGCAAATTATATCTTCCAATGACATATCTGTGATGTATGAAAATAATTTTAAAGAAATAAGCTTATAGTTTATGGAATCCCAGAAAACTTTTTCTTCCTTCACTACCTCCTCAGGAATAAGGCAGTTGAGTGGGTAACAGTTTGAATCTTATTTCAAAGTGTAGCTACAAAGTAAGAAAAAGCACTGGGCCAGGAGTCAGAATATCCAGGTTATAATCTTGATTCTTTCATGGAACAGCTTTGTGACACTGAAGGAGTCTACTAAATTCTTTAGATTTAAATTGTTCTGGTCTGTAAAGCTGAAAATAAGAGAGAACTGGGCTAATCTGTAGGGTTCCTTTCACTCCAATTTCTACCTGTCTTTTTCTAAATGGAATCATCTCTAACACAAAGTTACAATGGTGTGTCAGAACATCCTGTGACTGGTCCTCTGTTTGCTTTTTGATCTGATGACAGATGGCCTGGAGACGTATGAATAACATAACTGGGAGTAGATAAGCTGGCCACATTGATGAGTGACTGAGAGAAGAGTGCAAAGGAATAATGTACCCTTTCATTTGCCCCTTAACACAAAGATGAATCAGGCTATGGATGGGGTCAATTCACTGAACTAGAAAGGATTATATAAGCAGAAAATGCAAAAGCTATAGGTTTTTACAGCCGTATCTGCTCACACATATATTCAATTTTCCATGCTAGTTATTCAGGATAGAAGGTGCATTAAATTTATACCAATTCCTAGCTACTGGCCTAGTAACTAAGAATCTACATTGAGTTGTAATGCATTAATAAAGATTGGATTATCGAAGACATTTAGTATGTAATGCTCCCTTTAAGTAACTGTCATAATTTTTTTTTTTTTTGAGACAGAGTTTTGCTTATTGCCCAGACTAGAGTACAGTGGCACAATCTTGGCTTACTGCAACCTCTGCCTCCTGGTTTCAAGTGATTCTCTTGCCTCAGCCTCTCAAGTAGCTGGGATTACAGGCACCCGCCACCAGATCCAGCTATTTTTTTTGTATTTTTAGTCCATACAGGGTTTCACCATGTTGTTCAGGCTGGTCTCTAACTGCTGACCTCATGATCCACCTGCCTTGGCCTCCCAAGGTGTTGGGATTACAGGCGTGAGCCACTGCGCCCGGCCCTTAACTGTCCTAATTTTCAAAGTACTTTCAACCACTTTCCATCTCATTATTCCAACTCCAAAAGGTAGTAAGGACTGGAATTAACAACTTCAGATTACAGATGAAGAATCTGAGACTCAGAAAGATAAAGGAGCAGTTTTAGTGTCAAAAGGTCAGAAGTTTGTAAATGATGAAGCTGAAGGTAGGCCCAGATATGCTAACTGCTTGCCCAGTGCTCTTTTCAAAATGCCACCTTGCCATCTTACAATGCATTATGCTGGTAATAGATAATAAATACCCTGTGGATGTATCTGTATACCACATCATCACTGTCAGAAAAACAACTTGAGGTTCTCTTGAATGACTTAAACCTGACTTCCAGGCTGAGATGCGGTACTGTCAAGCGATAATGAGACCCACACAAATGTGCTGATAGCACTAAACAAAAACAATTTTCACCAGTACCTAGTATGGAAAGGACTGTTGGCAGCACCTTGGCCTCTACTGCCCTACACACACCTATAAAGCATCAGTCAGTCCCACCTCTTGACTGTATGCTTTGAGAACATGATTACACAAGTCTGTTTAAAATTTCTTTTTTAAGGAAATCATTAGGTATATTCAAAAGGGTCATCCACTGTATTGTTTAGAATGTAAATGTACCAGCATTTTTCTGTGTTCTAATGTCTGATCAATTCTAAAATGCTAGTCAATTAATGGTCATCCATTTTCTTTTTTTAAAAATGTGGCTCAACTACATGCAATATGCTGAGCCAGTTCTGGAATCCACCCTGTAGCAGAGTAAAACTGGACCAAAGGAAGTGGAATCAGAACTCCTGGTTGTCACTTTTCCAGCTACTCAATCTACAGAGTTTTTCTTCAACTCTTTATTGTGACGTGTGGTGATTCGTTTTGGATTCCACTGTATGACAGACAGGTCTGACCTTGAGGAAGACCGGTAGCCCACATCCTCTGCTTTTATGGGCTTAATGATATGACCTGGCTTGGTGACGACCTTGGGAGTAGTCAGCTTTTGGAAAGCCCTCTGGGTGTTCCATGTGGATCCTACAGGGGTCTGGATGGTCCTTTCAAATTGCCGATGGTGGGTAAATGGATACGGAAGCACTTGTACCTGATGAGCTGCTGCGTGGATGTTGCGCTTCTCACTGATAATCACATTTGGCAAATTCTTATCTTTTCTTGGAGGACCCTCAGGGGCTTTGAGAAACTGGCGTCTTTTCTTGGTACTAGGCTTTAGGCCCACACCACCCCACTCGCCCCAGCCAGGTAGAGTCAGGTCCACGTCCTTTGACTTACTCGCCTCCACAGCTTCTCTCTTCTCTTTCAAGAAATTTCTGATGACATCATCCCCAGCAAAAGCTTCCTTTATCATCTGCCTTTGGTCTCTCTCCTCTTCATCTTCCAGCTCCTCTGTTGTTGTGGGAACTGCCAAAGACCTCACGGAAGGAGACTGTGTGGTTAGGAGGTTCTGTACGTCGATCAGTTGCTCCTTCTCTTTCTTCTCCTTAGGGGCATCAGGCCGATTATTTGGGGTCCTCTCTGACTGCTGCCCTTCTAACACAGGTCTGGGAAGCTCCTTATTTTGAAAACAATCTTCTTTTCCCAGCTCTTCTAGCTCTTCCAGAGTTTGTACTCTCTCTGGCCTCTGTAGCAACAGGGGCGCCTCTTCTTCTGGGGCAGGTTCCTCTCTCTGGACCTGGGGAACAGTCCCCTCTGAACTTGCTTTTTGCTTCCTGGACTGATGGTTTTCCTTCAATTTCTGAGATAGTGCCCTCAATTCAGACAGCACCTCCTGGCTGCTAGAATCTTTTGTTTCTTGAATGCCTGCTGGCTCAGCATCCTGGTTGAGCTCAGATCTTTTTCTAAGGGATCGCCTCTCCTCAAAGTCTCTCAACAAAATTTCTTCCTCTGCCACTGGTCTTTCTCCCTCACTTTCAGAAACCTCATGGGTCGCAGGCTCTGGCAGTTGCTCAGGGTCCTCCTGGGTTGCAGCCTCTCTGGTGTCACTGGTGCAGCTTCTGAGCATCCAGGGATTCGGTCCGTCGACATTCATCTGGACTTCATTCACTACATGGGGGACAAGGAGTTCTTCCACTTCTTCTGTGCCTCCCTCCTCTTCCTCAATCTCAGAGGCTACCTGGAGTTTCTGTGTCAGTTCTTTGTTCTTGGCCAACTGTTCCTGCATAGCTTGGCGAGCCTCCAGGTCATATTTTGCCATAATTGCCTTTGACTTGGCCCATTTCCCACTGTTTTGGTGCTTAAGGCTCATTCTTTCCATCATTCTGGCATTTTCAAATTTTTCCAGTTCTTCCAATGCCACAGTTGGATTAACCTTCTGCAGCTGCTCCAACTCTTTTGAGGCTTTCCTGGCCTTTCCTTTCTTCACGACTTTGTGATACTTTTTACTTTTGATTTTCTTCTCTCTTCGAGCCTTGGCCTCATAGTAGGACTGCAGAGCCCGAGCCCTTTGAAGCTCTGCTCGGTGCATCTTTGCCTCTTCCAGGCTCATGGCTCGGAGAGAGGCCTTTTCCATGGGAGTCAGTAAAGGGTCTGTTACTGGCTGCTTGTTCTTATAGAGGAGGTTAAAAATTTCCTGCTCCAGGGGAGTTCTTGCCTTCCAGCCACTGAGCGCATGTTCAATGGGAGCAATGGCTGGCTGCTCCTTCCCCAGGGGAAAAGCCAGCTGCTCTGCCTGCTGGTTCTTCAGGACGATAGGGTCCCATTTAGAGAGGACTTGTGAGGTTTTACCGAATGCTACTTCTCTGTGGATCTGTTCAATCTTTTCTTTGTTAAGAGGTAACTCCACCACCTTCTTTGATTTGACTCTATTCAGTTGCTTTTTCACAGTGGCCAAAGAAGAAGTTTTAACAGGCTCAAGGAGATCTGCAAGGACCAGCTTTTCTCCTGATCCTTCAGAACTGACATTGAACTCTGACACTTTCAGACTAGCCTCAGACCTCTCAGCCAATTTCCGCCTATTCTTTCCATCAAGGGAACTGATTGCTTCCAGAAGCTTTTGATGCTTTCTCTCTCCATCACTGTCCCCCTCATCTTCATTCTCACTCAAGGGGCAGTTTTTTGGCAAATCCACTAATTCTTCCTGTTGGCTCAAAGCCAGAAGGCTCTCCGCAACCCGGTTCACATTCATCTTAGCAGCCAGCTTCTCTCATGTGTACCAAGAATGGAAGCTGAAGGCTAGTCATCCATTTTCTTTTCAACACTTCCTTTTATTCTAAAAGGAAATTTTCTTGTCTGTTTTCTAAAGTAAAATGATTTGACAAATGAGATTGAATTTAGAAAAATATTTACATATGAAGGTGTTTAACCAGTTTATATAAAATATCTTTAATTTTCCAGATATGGCATTACTTAAATAACTTTTCCACAGATGATAGGAATGTCACTTCAAATTCCTGATCAGAGAATCTGCTTACAGATGCACGAGCACTTTTTCTGATTTGGAGTCTCTTTTCTGCAGACATGGAAAGAATGTGAGCTATAGTTTCAGCATAGTCTTCTTCACTCTCAGCCAGAAAGCCAGTTATATCTCCTTCGTGAGGAACGACAATGTCAAGCTTTGGGCCCCCTGAATTGTGTGCAAGGATAATTGTGCCAGCTGCCATACACTCCACAACTCCTGAGAAAAAACAAAAATCATGTAGTATTTTAAGTTTTTGAGTGTGTTCATAAGAATGAGGATGAACAGAAATCTTCAAAAATTTTAAGGGACTTATGAGAAACTTAATTAAATGTCTATATGTCTAGACATTTGCTTATTTAACTTCTATAGTACAAAATAAAATAATTTTAAGTTTTTTAGTTTTCAAAGCTTCATAATAATACAATTTTTTTTTTTTTTTTGGAGAGAGAGGGTCTCACTATGTTGCCCAGGCTGGCCTCTAACTCCTAGCCTCAAGTGGTCCTCCCATCTTGGCCTCCCAAAGTGCTGGGATTTATCAGCGTGAGCTACCACACCCAGCCTGCTGCTTTATTCTTAGTTAAAATAGACAAATAGATGGAAGACTAACCTATTAAAAAAGATATATTGCAGATAATTAAAAAAGACTAGAGAATGTTAGCAAGATGGTAGAATATTAACAGGTATTAGAAAAACAAAAGGAGTAAAAAGATATCAAAAACAATTTTAATAGTTCAAATTACATTAGCAGAAAAAATAAAAAATGCAAATCACCTAAGTGAAGCATACTATTGCCGTGCTTATGTTACTGCCTGGATTTCTGGCATATTTGAGACTACTGCGTGCCCAACAACAGTGCTGAACTAAATGAAAGTTGTGGTTAGTTTCTGCCAAATGATACACATGAAATATAAATTAATCTAGCCAGCCTTTCTTAGCTGTATTCCTAGGAGAATTAAGCCCTTCAGAGAATGATTTAAGTGACTGCTTTCCCAATTATCTGAAGGATGGTACAGAGCTGGTATCATCCTGGATGTATAGGAGAGAAATTAAATAATTCCAAATGTTTCTAAAACAGTGGTGAAATCCCTGCAGAATAGAATTCAGTAGCTCATATCATATTCTGCTTGAGGTTGGAGAGCATCCTGTACTTTCTCAGAGACCTTCATCTAATCAATTTTACCCTTTCCCTCTCTACTGGCTCCTTCCTATCAGCATTGAAGCTAGAGCGCCACATGCCTCTCCTCAGGTCCTGCAATACCCATCCCTAGCCATTGTCTCTTCTTCCCGCTCCGTACTTCACAAACTTACTGAAAGTGTGGTTTGCACTTACCAACTCTACTTGTTCACTTCTGAGTGCTCAACTTTTGATTTTTGCTCATAGTCTGACTTTTGCTTCTACTTCTCCCTTAAGATTGCTCTTGCCCAGGTCACCAGTGACTGCCTTACCTTCCCCAGCATCTGGGCAGCATCGGAATCTGTGCCCTCTTCATTCTTCTCCAAACACTGTCTTCCTTGGTTTCTAAGACACTGCACTTGGCTGGCTCTCCCCCTTCTCCATTTCTTCTCCCCATTTCTCAGCTGTTTCTGTTCTCTGCATTTTGTACTGAGAGCCTCTTCTCACTCTGTACATATTCCCCAGGCGATCTTATCCACATCCATGGGAGCTTTGATAACTACCTGCACAAGGACAATCCGCATTTTGTATTTCCAGACCAGATTCCTCTCCTCAACTTCAGACTCCTATATACAAAACTACCTCCTGGACGCATGCCCTCACATGTCCCACAGATGAACTCAGACTCTGCAGGTTCAAAACTTGGCTCATTAATGGTATCTGCTCTTGGATTTCCCCTCTGGGAGAAAGTCAACACCATTCTCAGAGCTGCCCAGCTCCCAAAACCCTAGGTGGTCTTCTCTTCCTCCCTCATTTAACACATCCAGTTAATCACCAAGTCCTGGTCAATACACTGCAGAATGTCTCTCAAGCATGTTCACCTACCAAGTTCAGCTCACTAGTACCTCCATCTGGGCTGCTACAGTAGGCCGGCTCGCATCTTACTGCCTTTCCAATCTTGCTCTCCCGGCTCTTCACTGATCCACTCCCCATGTGGCCAGAATGGACTGCAGAAATCAGAAAGCTTTTGCATACAATACTTAAAATCCTGCTGTTCTTTTCCACTGGCTTAACCTGGCCCATATCACCTCTCTGTTGTCTTCCTGCTTAATGTTCCTATTGATGCATCTGTTGTCACTCCTGTCATAGTGCTGTTCCCTCTGCTGGAGACTCTCCCGTCTCTCCTGGCTAACCTCTAATTATTGTTCGGGTCCTGCTCAAGTGTCACATCACTTCCTTGGGCAACTGTTCTCTGCCCGCACAAGTCTGTGTTAGGTTTCTCTTTGGCACTTTCACATCACCCTGCACTTCCTTAGCATAGCACCTGGCACACAGCACTTGCCTGTGTAGCCTGTTGGTTCCACCAGAGGGCAGGAAGCCTCTGACAGGCCAAGCAGCTCCCGTCTCCACCACATCCCTAGCATCCACCCAAGTGCTCAGCAGACTGAATGTTTAGTAAGTTTCTATGCAAGGAAGCAGAGCAGGTCAGATCCCAGGCAAAAGGTTGGGTCAACCTGGGTCTAGTACTATACTACTAACTAGGAGTGAAAAAAGTGTAAGAGAAATTGTAGTCTTAGTTTAGAAAGTGTCACTTTTATGTTATCCTCATTTCCTCTAACAACTAACAGTGTGAGGCACAAAGCGCTTGAGAAATATACGTGGACCCAAATTAAACACAAAGTAGTACTTGGTTTTACAGCAAAATGTATTCTTAACAGGTCAGAATGGAGATAGTAGTTTGTGCCAGAATAAACAAGAGAGGCTAAAAGGCAAGGAGATTTAAGTTGAAGACTTATGATGCGATCTGGCACAAAGAGGAGGGCCAGTCCATGGTGAGGGTAGAATCAATAAAAGACTAAAAGAGTTACTGTGAGAAGTCCCTATGCAAACAGCGGTTCTCAACTTTTGATGCGTAACAGAATCACTTAAGCAGCATTATCAAAATACATCTACCTGGGCTTTGTCCAGAGATTCTCATTTGGCCATTCCGTAGGACTAGGGTAGGCCCAGGAATCTATACCAGTAAGTACGTAGTGGGGTTAGATGGGGAGAGAAAATGTTGCTGTTAAGAGCAGGGGCTATCTGGGTTAGAATCCGGGCTCTACCATTTACTTACTGTGTAACTGAACTTGAGCAATTTCTAAACCTTCCTGTGCCTGAGTTTCCTTATTTATAAAATAGGAATAACAATAACACCTATCAAATAGGGGTTTAGAGGGGCTTAAATTAGATAATACACGTAAAAATCTCAACACAGTGGCCTGCACACAGGAATTGGTCAATAAATACTAGCTGCTATTGTTAACTACTTAGTCTCAAATGAGGAAAGTGTATTTGGTGGACGAGGGGAAGAGAATTAGGGCATGATGCAGACTTCCAGAATTTCATTATTTTATCAAAAGAACCTAAAATGTGTATCTCATGGCACCAAACAAGTTGTTTAAAGGCCAAACTCACCAATCCCAAAATGCTCGTTCCACATGGTATGCAGACCAATTGTTGCTTCAGACAAATAATTCTTTAATTCATCAAATGGAATGTTTATTTTAAATTCCACATATTCTTGAACTCCTAAATCCTCAGAGAGCCTTCTCAGTTGGTTTACCCTAAGTTCATCATCTTTGTTACGACAACCTCCAATGAGGACAAGTTTAAGAGAAGGAGATGACTCAACCATCTTCTTATTCAGCAATTTAGCAAAGGCTCTGATCTGCAATGGATGATTCTTTTCCGGCCTAAACTGGCCAACAGAAACCAGCAAATGTCCTGGAGTCATCTTTTTCTCATGTAAGGGAATATCCAGAAATGTCTGCACATCACAAGGTGGATAAACAATGTTAGTGCAATTCCCAACTTTCCATAGTGAGAGAATATGGTTTAGTGTCCAAGAAGAATTGACCATGACTACATCACTGCAAGAACCAACAAGTCCATAAATAAAAGCAAATAAATAGTAGTAGATGAGCTTTACTTTGCTGAGAAAAGGATTCCTGGTAATGAAGGCTGCATTATTAAATCCAATATTTTGATTCTTCACTACAGAGAGCATGTCGGTGCTGATAGTGGGATAATGAACATAGCTTCCAACTTGGCAACCCCCTATATACTTAAACAGAGGAAGTGTAAAAGCGTATCCCATTGAATCGATGTAAACATCAGGAACACACTGCATTAGAGCTTCCCAGCCGAGAAAAATGGATCCTAGACTTTGGCCCAGCAGTGTGAAGTGAGGATACAGTGAATCTTCCACAAGATAGCGTTTCCTTAAAAAAACAAACTGCACTGGGTGAATTAATCTGATGTTAAATCTTCTGAAAGCACCTTCTAGTATCTGTTGACCGCTGACATTAACATCGCCGGTATAAACAACATAAACTGCTTCAGGATACCTAAAATAGAATGTAATGGTTAAGAATGTATTAAGTTACAAAAATTAGCCAGACATGGGGCACATGCCTGTAATCCCAGCTACTCAGGAGGCTGAGGCAGAAGAATCGCTTGAACCCAGGAGGCGGAGGTTGCAGTGAGCCAAGACTGTGCCACTGAACTCCATCCTGGGCGACAGAGTGAGACTCCATCTCAAAAAAAAAAAAAAAAAAAAGATGCCTGCTACCTACCCTGAGAGACTGAGAGCGAAGATCACGCCATTGCACTCCTGCCTGGGCAACAAGAGCGAAATTCCATCTCAAAAAAAATAAATAAATAAATAAATAAGAAAGAATATATTAGGTTAAAATCAAGCAAAAAGTTGTACATAACTATTTTTTTACAGTCATAAAGAAGATTTGTTTTGTTTTTTTTTTTTTTGAGACAGAGTTTCACTCTTGTTGTGCAGGCTGGAGTGCAATGGTGCGATCTTGGCTCACAACCTCTGCCTCCCGGGTTCAAGTACTTCTCCTGCCTTAGCCTCCCGAGTAGCTGGAATTACAGACCACCACGCCTGGCTAATTTGGTATTTTCAGTAGAGACGGGGTTTCTCCATGTTGGTCATACTAAAAATGATGTTTTCTACATTTTTTTATTGAATTAGAAGTATAGTCCTTCAAATGAGACTGTGACATCTAGTTCTTTGCCATTTCCTCCACTGAGGGTTTCACACAGAATAGGCATCAACAATAAGTGTTGATTTATGAATGAGATGTTCTAAAGAAATACTAAAAAATTTTGACAGTATTCTTAGTAAAAAATACCATAAACAAGTGTTAAGATTCAACAAACCTGTCTTCAGAGAGGATCACAGTACTAAAGCAATACTCAGGGTTTTTATCTGAAAAATGCAAAAAGGCTTTAAAAGCTAGATCTTGTGTCTATATCACAATTAGATATAATTAGTATGAAAATATCTAAAAGTATATTCTTATGACTTGTAATGCTTTGGTCTCCCTCTGTTTATAATTATTCTTTGAGTCATAAAACATTTATTGGCCAGGTGCAATGGCTCACGCCTGTAATCCCAGCACTTTGGGAGGCCAAGGTGGGTGGATCACCTGAGGTCGGGAGTTCAAGACCAGCCTGACCAACATGGAGAAACTCTGTCTCTACTAAAAATGCAAAATTAGCTGGGCGTGGTGGCACATGCCTATAATCCCAGCTACGTGGGGGGCCAAGGCAGGAGAATCCCTTGAACCCAGTAGGCGGAGGTTGTGGTGAGCCAAGATGATGCCATTGCACTCTAACCTGGGCAACAAGAGTGAAACTCCATCTCAAAAAAAAAAAAAAAAAGAAAGAAAAAGAAAACAAAAAACCCATTTATTAGGCATCTAGTATGAGATGCCAGGTTTTGGGGGTATGGAGATGAGAGAGAATCTTTATTTCAGAGGCTCAGTCCAGTGGAGAAAACAGACATGCAAAACAAATAACTGCAAAACTGTGTGCTATGCATTGATAAAGACACCCACAGGATGCTATGGAAGCCTAAAGGATGACAACCTAACTGCTCCTCTCTGGCCCCTTCCCAGTCACTCTTTACCCAGCAGCAAGAATGAGCCTTTTAAAATGTAAAAAAAGATTGTGATCTCTGGTAGCCTAAAAATGCCCACAAATTCCATTTGCTTTTTTCCTTCTTTTTTAAAGACAGGGTCTCGCTCTGTCTGTTGCCCAGGCGGGAGTACAGTGGCACGATCTTGGCATATCGTAGCCTCCACCTCTCAGGTTCAAGTGATTTTCATGCCTCAGCCTCCTGAGTAGCTGGGATTACAGGTGTGTGCCACCATGCCCGGCTAATTTTTGTGTTTTTTCAGTAGAGATGGGGTTTTGCCATGTTAACCAGGCTGGTCTCAAACTCCTGGCCTCAAGTGATCTGCCAGACTTGGCCTCTGAAGGTGTTGGGATTACAGGTGTGAGCTACTGTGCCCGGCTAGGCCACAAATTCTTTGATACTTTTCCCATTGAGAGGTGACATCTAAGTCCCCTCCCCTGGAATAACACTGGGCTCTGTGACTATTTTGACCAACAAAATATGGCAAAAATGACATTATGCCAGTTTCCCAACATAGACTCTAAGGGACTGGCAGCTCCTACTTCCTGTCTCTTGGAATGCTCATGCTAGGAGAAGACAGCTGTCATGTACGGAGTCCAACCAGCCCGAGACTGCTATGTTGTATGCAAGCCCAACTAAGTCACATGAAGAAGCTCCTCAGTGAGAGAAATGCCCGACAGCCCCCAGCAGTTCCAGTTATCCCAGCCCAAGCACCAGAAAGTGAGTGAAAAAGGCTTCAGATGGCTCCAGCCCCAGCTGCCATCTAATTGCAACAGTATGATAGAGACCAAACACGGCAGCCCCTAAACTACGTCACAGAACAGTAACCCCAAAACTGGTTTACTATAGCCCTTAGAATAAAATCTAAACTACTTTCCCTGATCACTCAAGTCCTGTGTGATCTGGAACCTGCCTCCGTCACCTCCCTTCCCATGCTCTCCTTTGCCCTCCAGGGTGCAGCCAAACTGGCATCCTTTTCTTTGAACACGCCAAGCTCCAACAAGCCTTAGGGAACTTGCAGTGGTTGTTCTCCCTACTCTGAATTCTCTTGTCATTTTCACTCGGTCTTTTCATAAGGCAGGCAGTTTAGCATGTGGTTCAGAACATAGGCTCTAGTGCCCCAGTTTTCTTCTTTGTCAAATGAGGATAATGGTAACAACTACATAAGGCTGTTCTGAGGATCAAGCAAGCTAACACATGTAAAGCACTTCAAACAATACCTGACATGCAATCATCACGCCATGAATGCAGCTGTTTTTGTCATTCAGATTTTGGTTAAGTGTTATCAGAGATTTCCCTGATCACTCAATCTAAAGTATCAAGACACTCCTATATTACCCTATTTTAACTTTTTATATAGCACTTCTCACTATTTGATATTTTTCTTCTTTGCTTATTATCTTGTCTCTCTCAACTAAAATCAAATGTCCAGGACAGAAGGAGTTGATCGATCTTGTTCCCTTAATCTCAACCTCTAGAACTGTGCCTGACATGTAGCCAGGTCCCCAGTAAATACTGCTAGGTTGAATGAAAAGTGCACTGTAGCCGGGCGCGGTGGCTCATGCCTGTAATCCCAGCACTTTGGGAAGTCGAGGCGGGAGGATCATGAGTCAGGAGATAGAGACCATCCTGGCTAACATGGTGAAACCCCATCTCTACTAAAAATACAAAAAAAAAAAAAAAAAATTAGCCGGGCGTGGTGGTGCGCGCCTGTAGTCCCAGCTACTTGGAGGCTGAGGCAGGAGAATGGCATGAACCTGGGAGGCGGAGCTCACAGTGAGCCGAGATCGCGCCACTGCACTCCAGCCTGGGCGACAGAGAGAGACTCCATCTCAAAAAAAAAAAAAAGAAAAGTGCACTGTAGTATGTGTTGAGTTAGGAAAGACTTGTAGAAATTAACTGGGGAGAAAAAGGTTATTTCAGAAGAAAAGAACACTATATAGAAAGGGAATGACTCTAGAGACAGCATGATGTGTTTGGGAAGCTGCTCCTTGTTCTGCATGTTGGAGCAGAGTATGTGTGTAGGAATGGGGAGGGATGAGAAACACGATGTGGCCAGAGCAAGATGAAAAAGTATCTTCCAAGTCATATTAATGATTTGGTTTTTTTATCCTTGTAGATGGGTTAGGAGTAATACAGGCTGCTGGGGACTATGTGTACAGATATGAAACTTTACTGCTGCCCTCAAGAGGTAGATAATCTGGTTAGAGAAGAAAAAAGTAGTATCAATGAGAGTAGGAAAAGTGTCACAGAGTTGGGAATTATGAGAATTCTTTGTATTTAGGCAGTTACAGAAGATGGCAGAGCAAATACAGGGGTAGGGGCTGGAAGCTAGGATGGGCCAAGATTACAGAAAAGTATAGCGGAGCGAATTCTGTGTGAAGGCCTTGGCACTGAATGAATGGTGCGTACCAGGAAGAAGGGTAACCATGAAGAATAACAGTTTTCCTCATATGATAAAATAATGGAACCTACTATGCTTTTTCCTTTCTAAAAGGGAATCACAAATATTTTGGGGGCATGGGGGGTGAAGATGAGGAAGCCTCAAATCTTAAAAGATGTATAACACCATATTCCTTCTAACATGGTAACTTGAGACTATCCAGCTGGTAATGATATAAAAATTTGAGTCAAATAGATACTTTCATAAAGATTACTCTTGTGTGCCACAACTGCCTGAAAGTATTCAGGCTTAAAGTGCTCTGAGGTACTTGGTATATTTCTGTTTATTATTTATTAAGTCTTCTGAATACACTCCCAAGGAGACCAGTTACTCCCATTAAATTATGCCATAAAGGGGCAGATGGTTTCCCCATCCACTGTCCATTTCTTTCTTTTTTTTTTTTTTTTTCCTTGAGATGGGTTCTCACTCTGTTACCCAGGCTGAAGTGCAGTGAGTGCACAATCACGGCTCACTGTAGCATTGACCTCCCAGGCTCAGTCAGTCTTTCCACCTCAGCCTCTGGAGTAGCTGGTGCGCATCACCGTGCCCAGATAATTTTTTGTAGAGACAGGGTTTCACCATGGTGCCCAGGCTGGTCTCAAACTCTTGGGCTCAAGTGATTCACCTGCCATGGCTTCACAAAATACCGGGATTACAGGTGTGAGCCACTATGCCCGGGTTTGTCTATTTCTTTATCATAGTAACTAAAATCAAATAAGATAAGGCATGCAGGCACATGAAAGAAATATTTTCTTATTGAGGAACAGTTTAAAAAGGAATTCATTTTTTACTTTAGGTACTTTAGAAAGATGAGGCCGGGCATGGTGGCTCACGCCTGTAATCCCAGCACTTTGGGAGGCTGAGGCAGGCGGATCACAAGGTCAGGAGATCAAGACCATCCTGGCTAACATGGTGAAACCC